TAAGCCCCCGGTGCCTGGACGCTTCTCTCCACGTGACTGAAGGCGAGACGCCGGTTGTCCCTCTCTTGACTCCCTGCCTGCCGGGTGTGCCGACCGGCCTGGGGTTTGGGGAATGTGGGGCGCTCTCAGCCCCCCACGCCGGCCCCTGAGTGACCTCGCCGCGCCCCTCCCGAGTCTGCACCCGAGTTAGAGAGGGAGCAGCGGGTTCTCTAGGTATAAGCCTATTTAGGGCTAATCCAGTGGGAGCTCCACGCTTGAGGTTAGCATCCTGTTGGGTATGATTCTTGGAGTAAGAGGTTTAAAATGAGATGAGTGACCCTGAGACGTAACGTTTTCTGGTCTTTCACGCTGTGCAGCAGCCTTGGTAACCTCCGATACAAGCAGGCTGCCACCCGCACATACAGCGCTTTTGTGTAAATCATACAAAGATGCCCCTTCCTCAGGACACTGTGTATTCAGCTGCTGGAAAACTGTTAGAGAATTGAGTGTGGGGTTTAGATGGGCACAGCCCCAGGAAGCAGCTCTGTCTGCAGGCGGGTTGCTACCTCGAAACCAAGCAAGGGGGTCTGCAAATCCTTAGTGCAGACGGCTTCTACGGATCGTCTTCTCTCAAGGCTGTCGCCTTTAAAAGAGAGAAAACTCGGCAAGTTCTCCAAGTGGTGCCTCGGATCGCCAAATAGCCTTGGGTGGTTTCCCCTGTGTCCTGGTTAAGAGCATCCCACACAGCTGGGTTTGAATCCTGGCAGCTCCCATCCACTGTGGCACTTTAGGCAAGTTACTTAACATCTCAGGTTCTTCATCTGTAAAATGAAGTTAAGGAGTAAATGAGAATGCATTTAAAATACTTAGCATAGGGCCTGGCGCAGAGTAAAAGCTCGAGAATGCGCGGCGGGACCAGCCTGAGGGATGCAGCCTGCACGGAATGGGAGGGACAGGACTAGTTCATGTTTCACCTGATTCCGGGGAGTGAGGACTCTACTCATACCACAGACTACATAATAGCTACTTGGCCCTTGGGGACTGACTTCCATCATCGGTCATCGTGGGACCGCTAAAGGACTGGTGCTCAGTAGAAAATACTGGTCATGGATTAGTACTTTACTTCTGCCCAAGGTCACATGGCCAGTAAGGTGGCCAAAAAAGTGTCATCTCAGAATTTGTTTCAGCTGTAAAATGGACATGCTGCCCACGGAGGACTGGGTGAAGTCGGGCAGGAAAGCCCTGGGGATCCCCTAGGCTGTGGTGGGGTCTCAGGAGGGGCCTGCCCGGCTGCCGGTCCCAAGGGCCCTGGGTGTGCTGCTGGGTGCACAGCTGCAGTGACGCCGCCTCCTGCAGGTGAACGTGGGCTTCTGCATCTTCAGCATCATTGTGATGGCGACGGCCAACTCGCTGATGTGGACCTTCTTCAGCCGGGGCCTCAGTTTCTCCATGTCTTCAGCCATTGCGTCTGTCACGGTGACTTTTTCAAACATCCTCAGCTCGGTGAGTAGCCTGAGGGTCTGGTCCCCCTGCCCCAAATTGGGTTCTGGTGGGTCATCCTTGGGCAACTGCTGCTTCCCCAGAGAGGAGAAGGGTCAGGAGCCAAAGCAGAGGTGGTGCTGTGGCTTGACCCCTGGTGGCTGTTCCTCGTGTCTCAAACTGAGGGATTCTCAAGTTGGATGGGAGCAAAGTCCAGCTGTAAAGCCACCTGCCTGCTGCTTGTCCAGGCTGCAGCCCTCGTTCAGCTCTCTGCCCAGCCACTGTCTCCTAGGGGTCTGCACCCTCCAGCATGAGACGTGAGGGTCTAGGTTCCTCCCTCTGATGGCCTGACGCCGGGTGGGCCGAGCCGTCAGTCCTGCAGTCAAGGGAGGGAGGTCGCGGTAGGCCAACTGGGGGCAGCGGACACCAGGCACCAGCTGCTGGCTGGCCTGGCTGCGGCCTCTGCTGGTCCTGTGCCCTTCGCTGGGGTCCAGTATTGTGAGGAAGGTCCCCTCCCCACCTCTACAGGTGAGACCAAAGTGAGTCTTCTGACAGCAGGGTTTCAAGCCCCAGACCTTTCCTCCTGCCCTCGGAGGGCAGTCAGTCAGCCCCAGGGGGCGAAGTTGCCCTCTGGCCGTGGAGATGTCCCGCAGGCACGGGTCTCGTGCCTCACAGCTGTCTGTCCCGCAGGCCTTCCTGGGCTTCGTGCTGTATGGAGAGTGCCAGGAGGCCCTGTGGTGGGGAGGAGTGTCGCTCATCCTCTGCGGACTCGTCCTGATCCACAGGAAGACCCCTCCACCCAAGCAGCAGTAGCAGCACTTGGCTGGGTGACCAGCTGGAAAGACACATGGCGGCTTGGGCTGGCATGGGGACTGCTTCCCAAGGGGACGTGGGCTGCAGCCTTCCGACCGTCAACCCAAGGGCGATGCTGCCAGGGGCTGCAGGCTTCTGACCGAGCAGCCTTGAGGGTGGCGGCTGCGGCTGCTCTGAGGGAACCGCACGCAGGGCTCTGCCTGAGGCCATCTGACCCATCTGACCCATCTGCTTGGTGCTCGAGTCGCACCCTCCGGGGCCCCCGGGCCCTTGGCAGGAGCTGGCGTCCCTGGGGTTGGTCTGCCTTGTGGAGGGACTTGAACCACGCTGTCCTTGTAGTCCTGTGTCCTAACAAAGGCCAGTCAGGTGACACGTCGGCGAATGGTGGGACATTCTGACAGCCTCCTGCTGTACGGGGCCGGCTGTGTCATGCTCTGTATTGTGGCGAGAGAAACGAGTGGATTAATACCTTTTTCTAAATTAAAACTACCAGGTGTGGAATCCTAATTCTTTCCTACATCCATTTTTCTTTCCTAATTTCTTGGAGTCAGAGGGAGCAGCCAGGGCGAGCTGCAGTCCCTGGAGTGGAGTGGGTCCCCCCTGGCCCAGGCTTGGCGCCCAGCTGCCGGGCCTGCCAACCTCAGCGCGTGGCTCCTGATGTCACCCAGCTGACGCTCTTCAGACTCAGGAGGGTCTGTCCATTCTCTCAGTGCTCATGGGGAAAATCTTGAGCTCACTTTGGGGGCCTAGTTGTATTTTACTCATTAGGAAAGAAAACGCACAGAGGTCGCTCTCACTTCACCTTTAGGCCCTTCTGTCCTCTGGTTCTTTCCCAGGCTCCTTTTCTGTGTCTGACGCCACGTGAATGACTAACTGCTAGTCCACTGCCTGCTGCCCGCACATGCCCCGTGTGTCGCTGAAGTGCGACCCTCACCTGCTCCGGGCTCCCGGGGCTCCCTGGGTATCTGAGAGCCCTCAGCTCCCCGACCCTGGCCCAGGCCCCCTGCCAACGTTTCCTGCGGTAGGAAGGGACTTGGGTCCAGTAGGCTGGGGAGAGAGGGTCACGTCCCGGCTGCTCCGTCCTCCCTGCCCATCTGCCTTCACTGCCCTTCCGTCCTTACTGCGCAGCCGCCAGCGGCGAGGTAGGATGACCAGGCAAGCGTGGCATCCTGGGAGCCTCCAGAAAACGGCAGCGGCCACCCGGGCTCATGCTGAGGGTCAGCGTGACCACAGAGAACTGGCCGTAGGACTCGGGGACAGAACTTCGCCCAGAGCAGCTCTCGGGAGAGGCGGGGGCAGGAGCCCGAGCAGATCAGATGCATGGGGGGGGGGTCCTCCCCACTGATGCAGAAAAAATTCAACACCCTTTTGTGGTAAAACATCCAATTAGGGACAGAAGGAAACTTAATATGACCAGGATATGACCACGGCCATCACAGTGAACGTCACTCAGTGGTGAAACACTGGAAGCTTCCCTCCAAGATCAGGAATGAGACGCGGATGCCCACTTTCGCCGCAGCTCCCACCAGCGCCCTTGGGCAAGAAAAAGAGGCGGTGGGCAGTCGGAAAGGAAGTAAATTACTTCTGTTCAGAGAGATGTGATCTTGCGTATAGCAGGTTCCAAAGATTCCAGGAGGAGGCTGCCCTTTTCTCAAAAGCCTTGGGCAGGCCCAGGGGAAGGAAACCCCGCATCCAACAGGCCACCTTCCCTGAGCAGGGGTCCATCATCCTGGCAGGAGGTGCCCCCCCATGCCAACTGCCAGCCCTGCCCGCTCTGCCCTGAGATGTGCTCAAACGATCAATATGCTTTTAATTAAACAGACTGCTTCAAGATGACTGGTCCCCAGGTCACTGTTTTCTTCAGTGAACAAGCTCGGTAGCATCTTCTGCTGGGTCAGGTGGGCACTTGGGGAGCCATCAAATCCTCCGAACTCCCCAGGTCCAAGGACTCCCTCTCCAAGGACTCGGGCCTCTTCAGGGCCCTGTTCAGGACACCCAGCCCCTCCCTCAAAGGCTGGAACCCCAGGGGTACACTTGGCAGAGGCACATGTGTGGGTTGAACGGTTATTTTGTGTATGACTTACGTGACGTTCAGCGGTGGTGGGCTGGGCTCTAAATTCAAAACCCTTCAATCCTGGGCACACTTGCCACAAATGCCCACCCCCGACATACAGCAGGTGCTCAGTAAATGCTCATTGCAAATACCATGGGGCGATGACCCAGAGGGAAGGGTTTGCTTAGTAACTCCCCACACGTAGCTGGCACCTGTGTGTGAAACTCACTTGTCTCCCACGCGGGAAATGAGAGAAAACAGGCTTCGGGGTGACTGTGAAGGATGCTGCCCAGGGGTCTGGGCTGGGACCTCCTTTGGAAGGTGGGAGACTCCAGCCACTGAGGTTGCGAAGAGCTTTTTATTTAGAGAAAGGTGGAGGTCAGTGCCGCCCCTCCCCAGCTGGCCGCCCTCCCTGCCGGCCCTCCTCTGGCTTTGACATCAGCTGCAATGCTTTCTGCCTGAGGCCAAGCAGGATGTCAGCCTCCGGACAGCCACCAGAGACAGCCCGCTGCGTCACCGGTGTAAGGACATGAGGCTCAGGGCTGAGCAGGGTCTGCTGTGGTTGAGGCCTGGTGTGGAGATGGGCCCAGGAAGGGGGGCTGGGTCTGAAACGGTGGCTTTGGGGCTGCTGAGTCCCTCTGCTTTCAGGCCAGGCAGGCCCAAGGAAGAGCATTTTAGGCCCTTGTGCAAGGACAGGTCTCGGGCCCAGTTTCCACACACCTCTGAGCTCAGCAGAGACCAGCAAACCTCTTCCCTTATTCTAAACCCTAACCTGCCTCCCGGCCCGCACTGCGGTCCTCCGTGGCGTGGAGTCTCGGGTGTAACCCACTGTGCTGCCCAGGGCTGCCTTCTGGGCTAGGACCACAAATGCCAGCCTCCGGGGTCAGAGCCGAGGCGCCCTGCCCAGACTGCACGCTACCAGGCTCCTCACAATATTAGTAAATATTAAAGCTGATACGGACCAAGAAAGCAGGCCTGCAGCCCAGGGGTGGGGGCCTGTGCCTCCGGTTGCTCTGCCTCTGCCAGCCCCGCCATCACCCTTTCCTGGGCGGTCATCGGGGAGGACCGAGTGGCTCTGTGGACGCCAGCCCTCTTAGTAACTAGCCCCGAGCCTGGGGGGTCACCAGGTGTAGGCAGGGGTGTCCGACAGCCTTTACCCTTCTGGAACAACCAGGATGCTCTCCTGCCTGGAGCTGGGAGGGGCCCTGAAACACCGCGCAGGGGCGGGCGCCGCCGCAGTGCCGAGCC